TTCAGCCGAAGACATACAAGCAGTAAAGGAGATGTAAGTTTGTACATAGTATGGAAAGCAGCATAGTTATAGCATTTATTACCTTCGACAGATTTTATCGTGAATTCCGGTTCCCAGGGGTAATAGGGGCTATTGACGGTTCCCATATTAATATAAAGAAACCAAGCAAGGACATCGAGCACGTATATGTGTGTAGGAAAGGAGGTCAAGTGGTACGAATAAATCAATAGGGCTGTTCAGGATGTTGTGGAAAGAGTCTTGGGTTTGCGGTTGGAATTGCATTTGCAAATTTTATGATTGCTGCCATGGCAACCGTGTGCATTTTATTGTTGTGAATTTACAAATGCACCGAATATACAAATCCAAGAGCATATGCACAATATCCCGAACAGCCGTAATATTTATTGGAAATATACATAATCACAACATAATCGTATAAATTATTTTCCACGGTATGCGACTTCAATTTAAAAATATTAGATTGTAATGCAAGATTCGGTGGAACTGCTCACGATGCTTCAGTATGGAGAGCGAGAGCACTTAAGGTTCTGTTGGATAATAAATACTCAAATGGTGAACGAAATTTTTGGTTGTTGGGTGAAGCTATTTACTATTTTATTATTTTTGCTTGTACTAACGTTCCATATATTTTATATACAGGTGACAGCAGATACCCGCAGCTTCCTTTCTTAATGACTCCAATTCAGGGTAACAATCTATCTCAATCAGAGGAAAACTATAATAGACGGCACAGAAAAGCCAGGAACTGCGTTGAACGCTGCTTTGGAGTGCTCAAAACGAGATTTCTTTGCCTTCTAAGAGAGAGAGTGTTAATGTATGACGCCATCGTAGCAGGGAAAATAATTAATTCATGCATTATTTGGCATAATATTATGATTATGAATAATATCGGTGGAAAATTAGAAGATGATGAAATGTCAAGTGAAAATGAAATTTTTTATGAAGGCAGTGAGGGAGAAATCTCTCCTCAAGGCATATCTGCGAGACAACATGTAGTTAATAATTTTTTTTAATTTACGAATTTTGATGCCATAATAAACCCAAAAATAAAATTGCCGCGATGGTCACAAAAATAGCACCAAAATTCAAAATGGTGTTCTTAGTAACTTACGTTGTTCAATATATAAAATCACAAGGCTGTTCTACAGCTTCAAAAACTTAACCTACAGCTTAAATACCTAATTTATTTACAAGAAAAAATACAGCGCTGCCCTACAGCTTTAAAAATCGCACGATTTTTTATTAAATACTTATCAATACTTCGATAAATAATGAAAATTTGTAATAAAAAATCGCGCTTTTTTTTATTACAAATTTTCGCCTGCGGCGCTTTTCCCATAAAAATCAATACTTCGATAAACAATGAAAATTTTTTATAAAAAATCGCGCGATTTTCTTCGCCTGCCGCGCTTGTCATTTTTTGTATATATTGGGGGTGTTTAACCTCATACCCTCCTTTACTACTAATTCAACGCTGAGCAGGAAAATGGGTACGATAAAAACTATTCTCTTTTATTGTTATTTTCTTAGATGTGGCAGCACTCTTCTAATGTCAGTGTGAAACCATGGTTGAATCAACGGTTCTGTGTTCACAATGTGCGTATACATATATAAGTGCGTGATAACTATAAAAACTTACTTAATTTACTAAAAATACATCATAAATGTAAAAAATATGTTTACATTTCATTGTGCGGGGTTTTAATGCAACTATTTTGCCGAAGTGTGTACATAAATATAGTCTTTATTGTGTGAAGCGCCGAGAGGTTAGTTCAATTTACAAACTTTAACAACAAATATCTTAAAAACTATAAGCCTCCTGCGGCTTAAAGTATATATATTTGCAATCAGGAGAACTCCCCCTACCCCCCCATAGCCACCTTTTTTTTGTACGCGGGGGATGTCAAACTAAAGTTTTCCCGAAGCTGTTGTTGACACAAGGAGTAAAACGGTAAAAGATGTTTTTGGACTATTGCTACAACCTGTAGTTATTCAATCATGTACAGCCATTTTGATTTGTTTGCAATTTGCATTGAAAAGATCGTGCATTTATGCAAATATAAGTGATAGGTGATCTTTGTATATGAAAATTTGTGGAAGTGCAAACAATTTAAACAATAAATTTCTGAAATACTCGTATTAACAAAGTGAAAATAGTGCGAATTTATGTAAACATATCTGTTTCTTAACATCCTCGTAAAGTTTCATGAGAAAAATCGTTATATTTTTGCCAAAAGACACACATGTCAATGTACACTGAAGTCAACTCAAAATAAAAGTCATTGTGTACAAATACAAGTGAGATATCCTAGCAATAGACGTCATCCTAAGCAGTGTTGCCAAGTTTTGATTTTGAAAAAGCACTAAAGCCCAAGAAAAATCGCGTTTTTCTTGAAAAAAAGCACCAATTTTTTATTGGAGAATTTAATGGACTTTGTATGCACACAAAATTTTATTGTAGCTATGCCGATTCAAATTAATAAAAATTAATGTTTCTTGCTCGGCGGTCGAATTTATTCTGTTTTCTAT